ATATTAGTGTCTATTCTTATTTTAAAATCACTCTTTAAAAATACAAAGGTACCTCAGAGTTAGATAATTTCAAATATATTTGGATGTACGATTTTTCTTGAGAATCCCTTCATAAATGCCCCATATGTGATGTTGAATAGTTAGTAAGTTTTATCAATACGGCAGTACAGGCAAGTGTAGTTATTCATTCTTTCTTTTGATGATTCAAAATCATTTCTCAGGCAGAGGCAAGCACGGTGTTATTATCATTGACCTGTTCCTTTCTAGTAATGATCAACACAAATAATCCCCTTCTCTCCTACACTCGGAAACATGGGTGTTGTGTTTGGTTTATTAATGAGAATGTCTGACCATGTCACTTTTTGTTTCACCATACCCTAAACTGGAAATTGTCTAATCTGAATCGCATCAGAGGGTACTTTGATCGAGATACATGTCAAAACGGGGTTGGGTATCTGAAAGCAGGACTTGGTTAGACTCCAACGTGTACAGAATGAGCGTGCTCGGCTAATCTGTAAATGGTCCCATGCTACCCCTATTGTTACATGGACTGCAATAACTTCTAGTTACTAAGAGAATAAAATAGCGGATGCTTGTTCAAACTTTTAAACTTTAATGTGTTGGTCAACCACACTCCCGCAGCATATCCTCACTCTTTCAGCGACAGTAAAAAAAATAATATTTACTTTAATCAACATCAACTCCTCCTCCTCCCATTCCCAAATCCCGAAAACATGCTGGCTTAAATTCCTTTCAGTCCTTTGACTAGCACTAATGGAACAAACTGCCTCCATTTTTGTTAAATAGTATTTCACTTGTCTTCCTTAGAAAAAAAACATACTTATACAGTTTGTTATATGTCTTAAAATTCCTTAAAGTTATATTTCAACTGTTTCTTTATTTTCTCATGTCGATGCTCACAACCGATATTAGAAGGAATGTGGGAGAAACATTTATAAAAACTGTTTGTATACACTTTAACAATTCTTAATTTATCTTTTATACGCAAAATGTTCGTAATGCAATCGCTTCAACTTTAAGCATAATGCATATCAGTAAAAGTAATATACCAGCAATGGCAAAAAAAGCACTTGGAGAAATTATCTTGTAAAAACTCTGTATGCTGCAATAAAAGTGGTTTATTTTCGCCAGGGTCATGATTGTGGGCTATTGTCAGTAATTTTTAAGAATTTCCCGGAATATCCAACAGGGTCATATATTTGAAGATATCAAATGCCTATATTCTTAATTTTTTTAAAACTTCATTATAGATGTATGCAATACAAAATTTCATGTTCATGTTTAGCTCTATTGATAGTTAAGTTAAAGGCCCACTGTACTACTTGTAGCTACTTGCGCCCTCTATATAACAAACCATGCCTAATCGGTGACCATTGGTCCCCCATGATCCTCTTTTTCTTATGTTAACTGAGAGCTGAGTTGATGAGATAAACACCTGTCCAGTGACCTTGCAGGGCAGTCTAATCCCTCCTGTAAACTATGGCAGATACGCTTTAAGAGTCTAATTCGCTAAGGCCCATTTTAGACCGGAAGTTCACGTGATTACAGAATCCCGGCAAATTCGCTAGTGAAAATTGAGCACCACTTATTTTGGATTTTTTTAAACTATATGTCGTAGGGAGAGTTCACTCCAGTCAATGATCAACAATTCATTACCAAAAATATTAATAGTGTTATCATTAATTTGTCTTAAGAAATTATTTTCAAAGTTATCAGTGTACTGATTATTTTTTGGTATTTAGTATTAGCTATTATTAAGCGGATACTAGGTAGATGATGGGTTTGATACATCGCTGTAGAAAATGCCTGGTTTGAATGAGTTCTGCATTAAAAGGTGATCATTTATGTAACTAACGACTAATTTCAATTCCTTATGCTACAGGATCTACAAACAATAACATGAACATATTCTATACATATTTTTTTTTAAGTATCACAATTTCCAATTTTTGCAATTAGGTACAACCGAGGCGTCCCCTGAAACGACTTTTTCCTCACCCCAAAGACCGTCAGCCGCATCCACATCAGTGGACATTCCTCCTCAAGATGCATCAGCAGCAGCTGCTGAAGTTTCTACTTCTCAAGCCAGGTTAGAATTCTTTCCCTATAGCTAATTATTTTTCATCAAAATCTCTTTAATGGGATAATCCGAAACTAAAATAATAACATACTGTCAATATCGTTCTTACACATAAGAACGATATAAGAAAGCTTACATCAAAATGTATGAATAAGATTTGTAATGATTGTTTAGGTTTTAGTACAGTAATTGCAATTATCGATTTTACAATGCCTTCAGATAGGTCCATTAATTTGACGAAAACAAATATCAAAATTTGTATTTGGGTGATATGTCCCCATCTCACCTAAAGGAGAATCCACCCTCATATGAAGTTGGTTTCAATGAAGGCAGAAGAAAAGTTAATAAGATTTCGAGCAATCTCCGATTAGATATTGAAAGTTTATGATGTTTGAAGTTGTCATACGTGAAACACAAAGTATTGGTTGTTGATGACGGAATAGACTTGTTTTGAACAAGGCATGTATAAAAAACATATTTTCAATAATAATATTAAGGGTGAATGTATGACTTAAATAAATTGCCAGGGAAAATGTAATTGTTTGAGGTTTTTAATTACAGGGTGTATTAGGATGGGAGATCGCAGGGTACGTCACAGAGTTTCCAATTTGTGTTTGATAAATTGCACCTGAACAAATGTACAACAATCTAAATATTTGTAATCGATTTTTGCTCAAACTTTCAACAACCGGTTACAAATAGACTAGAATACGATGTGAAAGAATGACAAAGAACAGTAGGCCTACTCAGTTTAACCTTGTAAAAAGCAGCTTCATTCCTTCCATCGGGTTGTCGGGTTAAACTAACTATCGTGTAAACATGTATCCTAGGAGATGAGGGCTTTAATAATATGTTTAGTGGGACGGTTTGAATATCTTTTCCGTGGTGGAGTTTTGTTAGAATTAAACAAATTTCAGTTAAATTGTCTCGAATGACGACATTTCGCCAAAGATGACTTTAATAACCATTTTTGGTCAGGGGTAATTTTCCCACTCGCTGATATCAGCAAAGGAGATTTGATAGGCCTATTATATGACTATGATAACGATTTCCCCGATGCTACAAAAAAAAATCGAATTCAAACCCACCCCCCTCCCTGAGCATATATTATATTGTGTTTTTTTCCAATCCGGCCAAATGTTCATTTAGACTCAATTGATGTGTCGGCTTGAGGTCCAAATATCATATTAAATGTGTGTTGATAATCGGCAAGATCAAAACAATTAATCTCATTGAAAGAATCAACACAGTTCAACGTGAATTCATAATTCCAGTCAGAGCAAAACCGAAAACGATTTTTTTTTAAATTTAAAGTAAATATATGTGCTGATTCTAAAACATTTGTTCATATAATGAGGCGCGATAGCTCAGTTGGTAGAGTGTGGTCTCGTAATCCGGTGATCCAGGTTCGAAACCAAGTCCATGCGCTAGTGCCCCTTTGGTAAGGCATTAATCCTCATTTCAAGGTCACTCGGAAAGGACCCAAAGCCGTCAGTCCTCTGGCTTCTTACTAACAAGCATTAGTGTTTTCTTAGCAGTCAGGTAAAAAAAAAAAAAAAAAACTTAACCACTTATAAAGAAAATTTACCATGTTTGACCATTTTTGTCATGGCAAAAAAAGTTACCAAAAGGACCAAAATGTCAAGAATGAGGTCAATAAAACGTTTTATTTTAATCAGCATAAAGTTTTACCTTAAATCAGTCTATCAAATCATCTCCGTCATACATTCTGTTCAATTAAATGCCAATCGAATTTCTCGCTGCTCTATGAAATGTCTAGTTTGTCGCAGAAATCGCGTAAATGGTCAATTTGTTACAAAGTAGCCCGAAACAAGCAGTCCGAACTGTTTATATTCATTCAATGAGTTCGATTTTTTCGAGTATCAGCGCACATTTGTATTAAATGGAATATGGATGCAAAAACCCACTCATCAGTTGGTTTCAAAAATGAAAATAAAAATTTGGCCTGATTTTCGACAAAAGTCAATACAAATGGTTATTTCTGCCCAAAAAGTAACCGCGATGACCATAATGTTGTTGATGGAAGCAAATCATCACTATTTGTCGCATCAGGGCACATTACTTTAATAGAATAGGTTTATCAAACTTTCTTTACTGACCATGGGCACAATTACCCCTGATCCTTACCAAAAGTGACCATAATGGTCGGTTTCGGCCAAAAGCACCAACATGTCATGACGAGGGCAAAACAAATTTTTATTTCGGATGAGCGCAAACTGCTTCCCCTGATATGTTATTCAAACCTCCCTAACCAAAATTATGATTAAAGCCCTTTATCTCTTAGGCTAATTGTCCCTTATTCATGAATGTCCGATAAATTCAGTGCAAACAAACCATTTTAATATTGCTCAAAGTTTACCATTCATTTTTGGTCTTTCATTTTAGAGTTCTCAGTATCGACGAGCAACACGAAGATGAAAGTAGGTATACTCTTTATATATTGAATATCATAATTATGTTTTTTAGGAAATAAAATAATAGATCACATTAAAAAGTACAGTAAGTGGACCATTATTTACATTTTCATTTTTACACACTCTATACATTCACTCACTCTTTCAGCATCAGAAGACATCGTATTCACTTCGATCTACATTAGCTCCTTCCTTTCTCATTCCAAAATCCCCAAAACATTTTGAAATCAAATCCTTTCAGTCTGTTGACTCCAATTAAAAATACTCCCTGCATTTTTGAAACATAGTATTTCACTTGTCTTCTTTAAAAAGAAATATCTGAAAACATTACTTATACATTTTATACTATGTCCTCAGTCTGAGGGACAGGGCCTTCTATCCTGTGGAATGGCGCTATATAAATCCAGTCATTATTATTAATAGTAGTAGTATACACAAACTCATTAACAGGTTACGAGGGACAGATGATAGAGCCTGTTCGCCATATCCCTCAATCGAGCGCCCACCAAGATGAAACCGAAATTCAAAATCCTGAAAGAAATGCGGATTTGAGTGATGATACTGGCATGATTCGGCTTGAGAAGCATGGCATTGAAGTTAGAATTCCACCAATCGAAGCTTACAGAGCAAAGGATGTCACCGTGGAACCAATCCATGACATTCCACCTGAGTTGGTGCTGAAGGAAACGGAAGCCATCATTTCTGTCGGCTTGAGGATGTCGCCCTCTGGTGCAACCTTTGACATTCCGGTGAGAGTAAGGATGCCCCATTGTGGTATATTCACAGAGCCAGAGGCTGCGGAAGTCGTCACTTATTATCGCAAGAGCGGTAAGTCTTCTTTTTCTCAATCTCTCTCTCTCTCTCTCTGTCCCGTTCACATTGCCATCTATTAAATAGAGTATAAATAACGATGTGCTCAAGGAACTTAATTGCACAAATACATGCGTATCACCCTTTGCTATTTATTATCATCCAATAAGCCTTTCAAACCCTAAGACATGACGTTGTATTAGTGGGGATGGGGCAAAGAATTGTGATTACTGTTAGAGAAGAATAAAACATGGTTCCTTTATTTTTTAATAAAATGTAAGAATTGCAATACTTCTTGATGAACTTGACATACAAGTATATGATTGTATGTTACTATTAAAGGATTTGGGTATACGTACATTTACTAGGGTTCTAGAACAATTACCCCCTGGGCACTCTCCCCCGAGGACAACCCCCTCCCTGAGGACAATTACCCCCCCCCCCCCCCAGAAAATTACCTCTAGGACAATTACCCCCCCCCCCCAAAAAAAAAAAAAAAAAAAAAAAAAAAAAATGTTTTTATTAAAACTAATTTATTGTCCGGGTGGACTACCCCTTTGATGAACAGAGGGGGATAATTATCCTTGAGGCGGTTGTCCTTGGTTCTTCTGGGGGTGGGGTAAGTGTTATATGGGGTAATTTTCAGGGATGGGGGTTATTGTCCACGGGGGGGGGGGGGGTTATTTTCCACTGGCAGGGGATGGTTGTTCTCGGGAGGTAGTTTTTCGGGGGGAATTTTACAGGTAGGGGTAATTGTCCTTGGAGGGGGGGGGGGGGGGGAGGGGCTTTATTATCCGCTGGGGTGAATGTCCAGGGGGTATTTGTCCTCATAGGGTTTACTAGGTTTCTTTGTTGATATTTTGCATGGAAAGCTTCTGAAAGTTTCACGCCGATTCCTTCTACAAACGGGAGCCTGAGATGTGTTGTAAGACATCGCGACCTAGATATCTACATGAACCACTTCTGCGAAATTTGGATTGTAGCTGACGGCAAAAGGATATTTATTGGAAAACGTGTTATTTGTACACCATATATTCCTGTGTCGACTCCAAAGAATGCTCAACACGTGTTGTTTGTCCATGTAAGAGATGAAAACATTGGAAAAGGAGAGGTTAGTTTTTCTTTTCTTTGCGTCTCATCTTCTTTTTGTTCTTTTCCCCCTCCCCCTCTTTTTATCGTAGTTTTCTTCCTTGCATATATAGTACTCATGGGTTTCAATCCTAGCCAGGCACTGATGTACTTTTGCAAGACATTAATCCTCCATTTGTACTCTCCACCTATATGTAAATGGGTACCTGGCAATGATAATGTTTTAATATTGGGAGGGCCCGCTGGAAGAGAAGCATCAATACCAATGTGCTAACCTTTGATAAATAATACCTACTTATTGCCACGTTTATTATGCCCTGCATCTACCAATAAATTGGTTTTATTTTGGGTTATTATCATGTCTCCTTTAATTGTTGTGCAAGTTTGCTCAATAAAGTGATGTTTAAAAAAAATTGCCAATGCTGTGATCAGTATTGTTTTTTAGTATTATCTTAATTATTAAGGCTAAAATATGATAAATACTGTTTGCAGATACTTACCTTCAGTAAATCCTCAATTAGACTTATACATTCTAAATTTCAGCAGTTTTGAATTCGATATATTTATTTGTCAATTTCATTTTTTGTCTTTGTATGTTCCTTTTTGTTTGTTCATTCTTCCCTTTTCTCTCTCTGCCACTTATAATAAACATTGTTGTGCGGAAATGCATTTGAACTATTCGTTACTATTTCTTAACATCATTATTGTCAAGGTGCAGCATGGATATATGGCTCCGATCACTGGAGAGCAATTCTTAGTTATGTGGGACCATGGACAATTACAGATTAGTTGCCTAGAGAGCACCATGAAAGACAAGGCCAAGGTAACATTAAAATGAGCATTTAGATAATGACATTTGTGGAAAACGAATAGCAATGTATTGATTGACCACAGACAACGTAACCAATAGTTTGGTAATTCTGGATTATGGGCAATTTATGGTTGGTTATCTGCCGTTTGGCAATTCCAGCTAGCAAAAAGGAACCTAAAAGGCAGTGGACAGTTTGTTACCCAGACTCATCAATATTTTGCTCAACTCGTATAAGGAAGTTGATATTTTATTGTGTATACTAACATGTTCAATATAATTATAACAGAATGGTTAAATATGGTCTAACATGTTAATTGAAATTGAAGATTCAAAATGATCTAACAATTTTAATAATTCATTATCCAAGGTGGGTAGGTTTGAAATTAGAAAGGCAGCATGTGGGCTATTTCAATACTTCAAATAAAACTGTAGTATGTCTGAAGCATTTTTTTTTTTGAAGGGTCACGTACTATTTGTACAAATTTCTTTTAAATTTGATATGCATAAATACAGACACACGTACATATACAGTGTATCCCAGAAAAAAACGAATCCGAGAATTATTGATGTTTTATCATAACTTAATCACAATTATAATTGATAAATGACACATATTTGTAAAGCTTAGATCCTCCTCTTTCGGTTGATGCAACTAATATGATTCATATTTCACGCATGAGTGATTCAAACAATTCAAGAGAGGGTAACAAAAAGTCATTAGGTGGGCGGTATCTACATTTCAAAGAAAACAATCACATTTCTAGAAAGCTCATTTTCTGTCCTCTCATATGACACTTCAATCAGAAAAAATAACTAGGAATAACAAAGTTCTCTTTGTTTAAAACAATGCTTGCATTTTCATACATTGATTAAACGAATCGTTTTCACTTGCTGACTGCCGTAACAACAAAGAGAGTTGACAAAAGACTTAACTCTGTTTCGTTGACGATCAGCCATGCACAAAGAAGATGACAGACTTGATGCATGGCTGATCGTCAACGAAACGGAGTTAAGTCTTTTGTTGCTACGGCAGGCAGCAAGTGGAAACGAATTTGTTTAATAAAATAATGGAAATGCAAGCCTTACTTAAGATCAACATAACTTTGTTATTCCTGTCTCAGTATTTCTGATTGAGGTATCATATGACAGGACAGAAAATGAACTTTCTAGAAATGTGATTTTCTCATTGAAATTCAAATACCGCCCGCCAAATGGCTTTTTCACCCTCTCTTAAAAAAAATGTAATCACTCATGCGTGAAATATGAATCATATGAGTTGCATCAAAGTAAAAGAGAAGGATCTAAGTTATACAGATATGTGTCATATATTAATTATAACTGTGATTAAGTTATGATTAAACATCAATAATTCTCGGATTCGTTTTTTCTGGGACGCACTTTATAAATATATGCACAATTTATACAAAGATATAATATGCACATACAATCTTTGTTTAAAGACACTACAGGAAAGTCAGATTCGCCTTCTGACTGACCACAAAGTGATGTTCAAAGTGGATACAAGTACCACAGACAATAATAATGTGATATTACAGTTCATCTTGGAACAAAGCACAGAAAAGCAGCTCTTGGTTCCCATGCTCTTAGAAGGTAAAGAACATTAACTAGAATGAAACCAACCGATAAATGCACAAATGTTTGCCATTCATTCACTCAGCGGCAGAGATTTGATAAGTCTTGAAAGGTTGAGGGCATGTACAAAATAACCAATATATCATAGGGGACTGTTTATATTTTATTCCTAAAGGTAATGCAAAGTATTGGGAAATTTTAAAAATTGAAAGGACACTAATTCTTTAAAATGTTGATATATTTGGATGCCCCTGTGGATGTATTATAAGCACTAGACAATTTTGCCCCTCAAACACCTCTACTTTTGAGATAATTGAATAATCCAAATTTACCGGTGCTCCCTGTAAAATTCAAATATTTCAAATATGGCTTAAGGCCATTCCATGGTAGCTGCGACCATGAAAATCTAGAATATGCAGTTCTAATATATAATTTCCATTCTATCTAAATGGGCTGACATTGACATTTGCTATCAACTGCAAATATACTATTTCCCTCCTCTTCCAATTTTAAGACAGAAGCTCAATTTTGATGTAAGAATTTTGCTTAATAATACATTAATGAACACATTTTGTCAAATGTATACTTAATCTCATCAACAGGAAATGCATGTTGATCATTAGGCAGATTTGTTCTATTCAATAAAGTGAGGCAACAAATTTAATCAAAGAAAAATTATGTTTTGTCTAATTGAATCATAATTCAATTTATAATGCAACAAGATTATTCAACTAATAGCATGAACATAACGTTATGTTCATGTTATTAGTTGAATAATCTATCCTACTCTTTAAATAGGAATAACCGAGACATCACCAAGAAAATTATTCAGCGTCCCCGAGAACGTCGGCATCCAAAATAATTATTTTTTTATTTTATTTCAGTCGACATTCCTAGTCCACATACACCAACAGAAGCCCGTAAAGATTCTACGTCTAAAGCCAGGTTAGAATTGTTTCGTAATTGCTAATGCCAATAAATGCTAATCATTATTGATTAAAATATTATAAATCGGATCATTCATATCTTACATAGTAATATTCGAATATCGTTCTTAGATAATTATCTAGTATAAGCCAGCATAGATCAAAAGATATAAAAAAGAATTGTTATGAGTGTTTGTGTTCTGTTATAATATTTAATGTAATGATTTTGCAATGCCATAACAAAACAAAACTAAACTCCAGTTGATAAATATTCAGATTTGTATAGATAAATATATTTTGAGGATAACCCCCCGTTTTTTATAAATTGAATGAGAAAAAAAATAGAATGAAATAAGATTTGAAAGAACTTGAAGAAATTACGTCCTCCTGACACTTATCAGTACTTATACTTGACTCCTGTCATTCACGCTACACAAATGGAAACATAACCTATAATCTGGTTAGACAATTTGTACAGTTGCATCTAACAACAAAAATTAGAGAGAAAAAACGTGAGTGGAATTAGAATCCATGCATGTGCTTCGGAAATATCTTTAAAATCCTATCAGAGTAAGTACATATATTAAAGGCACGTAATA